CACACACACACACACATTCAGTGTGTGCAGAGAGAATATTTACTCTTGGCGGGGGGCAGCTTTCATGTGGGAGATCAGAGCTCAGAGCTGACTGAAGGCAGTGTTTTCAGACTGAGGTTTAACCGCCGTCTCTGTCACTGCTCCGCTCTTCATCCACCCATCCCCATGTGTTTTTACTCTGCTTCTTCCTCTTCATCAATTGATTTGTCCTTCTTTACTTAACTTCTCCTCTGCCTCTGCGTAGCGGACATAGCCCAGCGGTACCGCATCACCAAGTATCCGACATTGAAGTTGTTCCGCAATGGGATGATGATGAAGAGGGAGTACAGGGGTCAGAGGTCGGTGGCGGCCATCGCTGACTTCATCCGCCAGCAGCAGGTCGACCCCGTGAAAGAGATACACTCACTGGAGGAGGTCAATGCTGTGGATGTGAGTGGCAAACACACACACACTGTTTCTGTAAAATATTGTAAATAAAATGGTATCAATTCTTTTCTCAACACTCTTTTGCTTTTTTTTTTTTTCCAACAGAGGAGCAAGAGAAACATCATAGGTTACTTTGAAAATAAGGACTCGGATAACTACCACACATATGAAAAAGTTGCCAACATCCTTCGAGATGACTGCACGTTCTCGGCTGCCTTTGGGTGAGACGAGGCACCATAATCCTTCAAACGAAGAGCATTTGTAGAGTAGATATTTTAGTTTCAACGTCATTGTTCAATTTGTATTCATCCTAAACATTTCTTAATTGCTTTATTCTCATAGTACTGTATCTGAGTCTGAGCGCTTCAGTGGAGACAATGTAATCTACAAGCCTTTGGGGGAGAGTGTCCCTGACATGGTCTACCTCAGCTCACTCAACAACTTCGACCTGACCTATGCTTGGGCCCAGGACAAGTGTGTGCCTCTGGTCAGGGAGATCACCTTTGAAAATGGAGAGGTTTGTTACCTGCTTTTTCTAATCGAGCATTGTCAACGTGATGATAATCTGCTTATTTTGGCTTTTTTGCTCTAATGTTAGATGTATAAATCTGCATATGTAGATGTACAAATCGATATTTATTCCATTTATTCATGGAGTCTGTGGGTAGTACATCTCCTGACGCCACGGAAAGGCCCTGACTCATCTGTTTTTGACCTTTTGTGTGTGTATTTATGTGTTTACCAGGAGCTGACTGAAGAAGGAATCCCTTTCCTCATCTTGTTCCACGTTAAAGAAGACGCAGAGAGCTTAGAGAAGTTCCAACATGAAGTGGCTCGCCAGCTCATCAGCGAGAAAGGTGAGTGTGTCTTTTTTTTGGCATTTAGTGCTTTTCAAAATTGTGAATTTGAGTTACTCATGAGCAAAACAGACGTGGTGTTCATGACATTGGTGTCTGCTCCTTAGGGTCTATAAACTTCCTGCATGCAGACTGCGAGAAGTTCCGCCATCCTCTGCTCCATATTCAGAAAACTCCTGCTGACTGTCCCGTCATCGCTATAGACTCATTCAGACACATGTATGTCTTCCCCGACTTCAAAGACCTCGAGTAAGTACCGTCTTTCCCTTTCTCTATACCTTTATTTAGTGTTGCATGAGGATGTGCTGCGTATGTGTGCAGTAGTTTAGTCCTTACAATTGCATGCATATAATATTATTAATGTCTGATAAATGATAATGAATTTATTTTCTTTCTTTTGTGATACCACCATGTGTGCATCTCCCTTTTTAAATAGTAGAAAAAGGTTTTTAGAAATGAAGATATGGGCTGGTCATTGTTTCATACAAAAAGAAAAGAAGCCAAATTTAAATGAAAACTCGCCACAAATGCAGCTATAATTAAACAAATGAATCATCCACATGTCAAATCAGTCTGATATATTCAGCATCCTTTTTGGACATTTTTGAGCATTGAAATTGTTCGTAACGAGATCTCCCTAAATAAAGTTAATTTCATCTCTCACACACACACACACACACACATAATCATAATCATAATCCACTGTGCACTAACACCAGAGAAATGTCACACCTCCTAAAATCTGTCCTTTATGAATGGGCCAGGACACCAGAGCTAATGTGACATGATTTGGCACGTGCAATAAGTGCTAAACTAATCCAGTCTAATCTAATTTAATCTTATTTATTCTGTCCCCCACCACTCTGCCTCCCCCAGTCCCCAATCAGAGTCTGATCAGATAGACAGAAGCCCCGAGGACTGACCAGCCCTCCACAACCTAATTACATCACATCACCACTGCATGTGGCACACAGCTTGTAATTACATTAGTGCAGTGTATGTTTTATATATATATATATGTGTGTGTGTGTGTGTGTGTCTGCATGCTGTGACTTGGGACCAGCTCCGTCTGTGTGATATGACAACAGCTCATGACCTGTCGTTAATAAGCACACTTCACAGGACAGCGATGATATGGATTAATGCTGCTTCATGACACGTCCGCAGGGACTAATGTCCTCTGCGGCTGCCATGAGCTGTTTTGTCTCCTATCAACTCTAACCTACGCTGTAGCTGAAGCAGGTCCGTCTGTATTGCTGAACTTTGTGTGTAGGAATGCCTCGAACATACAGTTACGGAATAACCACTAAACACAACAGCTCATGTATGAGCGATTTAAGAGAATTTGTTTTTGTCACGTACAGACAGTCTGTCTCTGTTCATAAGGAGAAAAACATGAAACTTTACAGTGTTGTACGGGGACGAGATGTATTAAAAAGACCTACAAAACAATAAAAAAAACACAAAAAGAACAAAACAAGGCGGCCAGACAGTTTACAAGATTACAAAAATGTCACAATGTTAACATCTCGGGAGTAAGGTACAGTAGCATGGACAAGTGAGCTGAGTTAAACACCCCACCCACTCATGTATCCAGGCGAGTCAGAGTCCCTGTGGATTTGGGGTAATTTAGTAATTTAGCACGGTTCCTAAGAAAGGTCCCCGTACCCTCTCAGATCTATTCTGTGTGTTGGGTCAGTACAGACGTCTCCTTGAGCCGGAGGCAGTGGTACACTTCCAGGTCAGACATTTTGGTATCTAACGTCGTGCGGGACAGACAGCTATGGCTCAGGAGCAGGTCATCCATTAATTGCAGGGTTGGTGATTTGATCTCCTCCTGTCTGCAAGTCAAAGTCTCCTTTGAGCACGATTGCAAGATACTTCAGTCCCAATTGCTTATGGCAGGCAGGCCACTGTGTGTGTGAGTGTGAGTGAGTGAATGAGAGGCTAAATGTGTCCACTAAAATAGAAGAGCACATATAAATGCACTACATTTATTTCCCTCTATTTCTACCACAGTACGTCGCTGCTCTGATAAAGTTGTCGACAGCCGTTCTATTGATGTTTCCTTCCTAGCAGGCGATTAATCTCTGCGGTGTAAATGTTTTCCTCTTGCCCTTGGGTAACATTTTTGTGAATGAGAATTCAACAGGAACAGGTAGCCCTGTAAAGCAATTTATAGATTAAATTATTAAATCTCAAACGTGCACCTACTGATGAATGAGTGGCCCCCATCGGGCTCAAATGTTCACTTATATGACCAAACCTCACAGAAAAAAAGATTTGGGATAAGCGTACAAACATGTTCTTGCATGATGTCCAACGTGTGTTTCTGTTTCTGTTCTCCAGTATCCCTGGCAAGCTGAGGCAGTTTGTGCTGGACCTTCACTCTGGAAAGCTACACAGAGAGTTTCACCATGGTCCTGACCCCACGGACAGCACGCCTGGACAGGTCAGATGGCGGCATCAGCATGCACTAGGAGTCACTGAAAGCTGGTTTTGTTATATACAATGTGACACTTGACTGAATTTGACTTTTACCCTCAGGAGGAGACGGGAGGAGAGGTGGCCAGCAGCCCTCCAGAGAGCTCGTTCCAGAAGCTGGCGCCCAGCGAGACTCGCTACACCATCCTCAGACGGGACCGCGACGAGCTGTGATCTTACAACAGCCTCCAGTGATCCTGAGACTCAATGCCACGCCCCGGGGTCAGGGAGGGGGTTAGGGTTGGGACAGGCCAGCGGGACAGAACAGCAACACCCAACACCCTTACTGAAGAGAGAGGAGGAGGAGGAAGAAGGAGGAGGAGAAAAAGAAGAACAGGAGAAGGAGTACAGTCCACGACACGACCATGTTGGAATAACCTATATTTTCATAACTCTTTCACGTACAATTTTTATTTTGGATCAAAAGGAAGTGGGATAAAGAAGAAAATGTGTGTGGGCAGGGGTTAGGGGCATTAGGACATCAAGAGAAGTGTTTTTACTTTTATTTTTTGGAGCTTGTAAATATGTTTGTGCTACATGGGAGTCTCATTGTTGGTCTAAATTAAATGCAGAGTTTTCTTTATTTTATTCCTTTCTTTTTCATCACCTGGCTTTTTGTAGAAGAACCCAGAACAGTTCCCTCACTCCAGTCGTATGGTTCTTATCTGTGGGTAGTCCAGTTCAGCCTGTCTGATAGGAGACGCTTGTTTAGTCTCACCGGCCTCATGGCTGCATCTCAATATGACCAACTCTAGTCTAATTCATTTGTATAGCACAAGTCGTAACAATATGCCTGTTGGAAGTAGCTTTATCTCCATATCTTCTCCACACACTCGGCGTTCTGAAGGAATAGAAAAATATTTTGAAATACTTTGTAGGAGTAACGTAATGTCAAACCGTGACTTGAGACAGAAGATAAAGAGACAGAGCTAATCCAGCCTATTGAGATGCACCCCTTCTCTCCCTGGTACTAAATGGTTATAGATTATGATGTCTTTTACAGTGCTTATAAAAAGAATTGCCCCTTTTGGAACTTTTTATGTGTTACTGTTTTATAACACTGAATCACGGTGGATTGTAATTAGGATGTTTTTTTTTTTTTGCCAGCAATCAACAGAAAATACTATAATGACAACGTGAACAAGCCTTTGGCCGTTGTACTAAATTCTGTGTTTAGTATAGGTCTAACACAAAAAACACACCATCCCCATCACGAAGCCTGGTGGTGGCAGTATCATGCTGTGTGGAGGCTTCTTTGCAGTGGGCTCTGGACGGCTCGTGATGGTAGAAGGTTAAATTGATGCAGCAGGTTAAAGAGAAATCCTGGTGCAAACGTACAACTATAGATTTATATTTTATAGTAAGACAACCCCAAACATAAAGCCAAATGTACACAGGAATGGCTTGAAAACAGCCAGGTGAATGCCCTGGAAGTCAGTGTCCAGACCTTAGACAAATCCAGTATTTGTGTCAGGACTTGATAATTGCTATTCACTCCAAGTACGAGAGTGTAACTGACCGAAGTAGCTTGAAAGGGAAAGATGTCCAGATGTGTAAAGCTGTTACAAGCCCACTGATGTAGACGTGAGGCTGTAACTGTTGCCAAAGGTGCCTCTATTAAGTATTGTCTTGAAGGACATTAATACATGTGCAATCAAAAATGTTAATTTTAGAAAAGACCAATCTGAAGAAATCTGAAAATGTTTCTTTGTGTTCAGTGTCTAAAAGGCCGATTGCCTCCACTACTAAAACAGTAAAACATTAAAAAGTCAAAGCGGGCCTTTTTAAAGGCACAGTATTTGCTGTAAAACCTCTGAGTGGTTATCCCGGGAATCAATTAGGAGGGGGAAAATGATTTTAAATGGGGAACTTGAACACGATTATGACATTTATGAAATGGCTGTTGTTTTTGCTGTTACCTGTTGTCAAATGTGTCATCATGCTGGGGGAGAAAAGACTGCATCCTTCCCTGTGTTTTAAAAAGCTGAGAGACAAGAGGGGGAAAACCCATGTGATAAACGGTGGAAATTTACAGTCTGCCACTTTATACGAGTTCTCTTAAAACTGGTTTTGTCTCTTTATATGTCTTTGAGGTTTTGGTACAAGTCTAAATCCCTGAGATCCACTGAGCGTGAATGAATCCAAAAGTGGAAGACAGATTAAGGATATGGGGGACCCATTGCTAAGTTTGTACTGTGCGTCCTGCCCTTCCATAGAAGCCAACAGATGCCTAGTGACATATCAGCCCACATACAGGAGAGCAACAGGGGGGGAATGTGATACCATTTCTAAACCAGTCATCTCAGAGGGGAAGAAGAGTAAAAAAATGAAAAAGTAAATTAAAAACCATTTTACAGGATATTGTGTTGTCTGGTGCTTTGTATGTCAGTCTCTCTGAACTTCACTGGTGTCATTTACTTGTTCTGTTTATCCAATGAATGACGATACTGTTGAAAAGAAACATTTTATTTGGCAGAAAACCAGCAGAAGTATAATCAATACGTGGCAGGTTCTCAGTCCCTGAAGTGGTGGACAGTGGCACTTTGGCGGGTTTTTTTGTGCAATTTTGCTCTCATATCTATATACAGTATAATTTATATAAACATTGAAGCAGGACAACTTTCATTTACATTATTACATAAATGTAACACCACAGTGACGTTAGACAAAAAAACATTTTCTCTAAACCTTCTGGTTCACATGGATATTATTATATTAGGAACATTGAGGCATGATTACTGGTTAACTTAAAAACCCTGTCGAAAAAAAAAAAAAAATCCGAACAAAGATGCAAGCCTGACTAACACGACAGTGTTCTTCTTAGTGATAGCGTTTGACAGAACGGTTGTGTCTTAAACTGACGTAATTCATTTGGTGCCAAAGATTTCTTTAAGCAACAAGATGGGCTCACAACCATATCAGGCTGACCCAAACGCACACTAAAAGCTGTAGTGTAAATTACTGCTTAGCGGCTTTCAGAATAAAAAAAAACATTTGCATGTATAAAATTAGATGAATGTTCTCACAGAAACACCAGTCACACCCAAACATGAAAGTATGTGACTCTGAAGTAAGACTGTTATTATGTAATTGTTTTACAACAGTGCTTGGATCAAAGCTTATATATCGAGTCTCTTCAAGGCAATGTGAGCACCGCGGAAGGTCTAGTTGGTACTTCTCATTGTTCAGTAAACAGTGACGCCTCAGCGATTAACCGGCACCTGAGGTCAAAGAACTAACCAGAACTGTTGGGTCATTTGTCCTTGTTCGACTCTGGTTCAGCTGGTGGTGCTGTCAGTTGTTTCATCTGTAGATCCACTCGGGCTTTGCGTTGTTTCTGGACCAGGTTGCCTCCCGCAAACCCCAGGACGCCCCCTCCCAGAGCGGCAGCCACCCCAGCAGCTTTGAAGCCAGCCAGCAGGCCGAGTGGACCTCCTAATACACCGCCCAGCAGCGCCCCAGCAACCGGCAACACCGCCAACTTGTAGCCCACCGCCTAGAGAGACAGGAAGAAGAGATATGTTCTAGTTTAATTTAACCCCCCCCCACACACACACCACACCATCACACCAACACACACACACACACACCTTTGGAGGCATTAAGACTTTGGGCTTCAAGACAGTCTGCGATAGAGTTTGGATGTGTCTATCCTTTCATGATCATACATCGACCCGCGGAAGGAGGACGCAAACAAGCCTGCAAATGTAAATCGACGCTTCCATAGCAGCATCAAAGCTTTTTCATTATCTTCATTTAGGGGAAATCAGAGAGATGTGGCCTGTGTGTTATTACGGCTGTTATCATCAGAGTGGAAGGTGCTCTTTGCTGATGACAATTAATGACACACGCACACACGGCCAGGGACACACATTTGATTAACACTTCACCATTAAATTAATCTAGTTCAAAAGCTAGCATTGCATGTCCCCGGCCCTGTGGCAGTAGAGGGAATTTTAATTTCATCTGAGCCGAGTTAAAAGGACTCTGGGCACAGGTTGTAAAGGATGGAAGGGAAATGTTGGGGTTGTGTGACTGTGTGTGTGTGTGTGTGTCTGTGTGTGTGTGCAATGTTGTTTGACCTGATGACAGATTACAAGCTTTCAAACACGTTAAAACATCTGACATCCTTCTCATCTGCTTTATCTCTCCACACCCCCCTCGTCTAATGCGCAGCCCACTACATCTAGCAGCAACCTTACAGAGAGGTCAACCTTTGTTTGTGCCACCATTTGGGTGAATTTAATTTAAATTAAGCGATTAAAATGAATATTTCATTATATTTGTTTTGTAAATGGTAGGACTAAAGTTCAAATTGTTAAAGGGTCGCTGCACTTACATTAAAACACTGATTTTCTTACTTATTGTTACTGGTATCCAGCCATGCAGATAGTTCTCGTTTTATTTGCCTATTTTTTTATATATAGAATTAAAACTCCTGCTGCTACCCCAAGACAATGAAGGGGAATTACAATAATTTGGCAGATGGTTTTATCCAATGCATATACAAATGCATACACTAATGTTGGGAGCAATTTGGGATTCAGTCTTTGCTTAAGGACAATCTGACACGTGGACAGGAGAAACCACGGATCAAACCTCCAACACTACAATTAATGACCAACCCACTCTACCACATAAGCTACAGTCAACAAAAATACTATAGTAGGAATTGATAATCATTATTTCATAAGTATTACAGTATTTAAATACTATTGTTAATAATCTACACACTTTGCTTTTGCAACTACTTTTTAACAAAGAAACAGTCCATATGAAAACTGTTCACAAGTGTGCAGGTTATCCAGATTAATACGAGTGTTTCTAGAAAGGGAGGTTACTGTTGAATTGGTTAAATGTTATTTTTATATTCTCCTAGCATCACAAACGAAATGCAGCTCACTTCAGTTGTACCTGGGTGGTGATACCACTAGAAGCAAGTGAGAAAATGTTTTTTTTTGTTTCTATTTCAAGTTATTTACTGTCAAGTGCTTATAGCATATACAGTTTTCCCCCACAGGAATCACAAAGTCTGTAATTACAGTTTAATAACTTCACACCTCCATTATGTTCCTAAAAAAGTGCGAAAACAAAGATCAAAATAGGCAACTTCATCTGACATCCGGTGAGCATTTGTTTCCTTTAATCTCAAACAAAACACTGAAAGTAAAGTTAGAAAAAGTATTTTTTGATAAACAGAAAACGGCTGGCACTGAGTGTGTGTGTGTCTGTGTCTGGCACTGAGTGTGTGTGTGTCTGTGTCT